TCTTGCATAAACTTATGTAGTTCGTCTTAAATTATTGTGAAAATTAATACATTTATAATAGAAAACTAATTACTCTTCTTGATATATGTGAAAACCTCAGGAAGAAGAAGAGTAAAGTTTATATTGTTTCAAGCAAATTTACTATTTTACCCTTGGTTCAAATTGTTGATTTAAATACTACAAATGAAATAAACCAGAGAAGTACAAGTTCTAGCATTAGGGACTTTGATTACAACAAAGAGAGCAAAGATATGTTCATATACATGAACATGTTCACTTGGATATTACATACATCATCATGATAGAAAACATAGGCTTTCTTATTTCTGCAAAAGCAAGTCGGTATCAAAAGGAAAAGCTTTAAAGGTATTAGCCGAGTTTCTTAAGTTGTAATGGAAGAAGAGGGAAACTTCCATTCAAAATTTCCTAACCAAAAAACAAAAAGATGTACAAGAACAACAATCGTTTTCCTCCTCAAGACTTTTAGTTAACTCACGTATATAACTAAATTATTAAGTATAGATAAATTATTAACGATGTTGAGATCTCTGTCTTTTTTTTCTATGTACATTATTCATTTTTAGTTTTCTTACTTTTTCTTACATTTACTATTAGTTTTGTGATTCTTTTTTTCTCCTTTTTGTAGTGCAGTATGCTCTCGTTTTTTATTGGGCTACATGCATTAACATTTATACAAAGCTGTGTATTTTTTTTTAAAAAGACAAAATTGCGTATTTATACAAGAACATTGTTGGCTTAACCTAAGAGCATGTTTATTGGTGAACTTTTGTAGGTTTCTTTAAATATAAAATTATTAAAATTTGAATAAAAGGAAGAAAAAAAATGTTTTTGGTTGAAATAATGGGTATATTGAAATATAAAATTAATAAAATTTAAGTAAAAAGAGGAGATAGTGGGTATTTTTGGAAAGAGAATATCTTTAGAATGAACTTTTGAAAAACAAATTCGGGTGTGTTTAAATATAAAATTAATAAAGTTAAGTAAAATGATGAAAGAAAAGGTATAAAATTGAGTAAAAGGAAGAGAGAGTTTGTTTTTAATAATTTTATATTTAAAAAAACCCACAAAAATTCATGGCCTAAAGTGTTGACTTGATCAACTTAACCTAAAGCCCAGTTA